GAGTTCAAAACTCAAGTTGGTTTGGTGCTGACATTCTGGATTAGGAAGGACTGCTTCTTTCTATACACTGTGAAATTTATAAACCACAGCAGCTGAGGGCTTAACATGGCCGACAAGCTCCAGCTGGCAGCAATTAAATACACCGCAGACCTTTGGCCAAACAAAGGTTTATGGAGGCAGAATTGCTGCATGTGCTGAGAGGAGGGAGGCATGTGCTGAACAGAATCTTAGGTTGAATGTTGGTTCATAAGAGATGCTGTTGACTAAGGAGAGGTACGTGGGTGGGGTTTGGCCACCTCTTGTTCAGTGATCCATTGTCCCCAGGATTGTGGTATCAAGACCCTGCCCAAGTGGCAGCAAAGGTGGTCAGAAGAAAGGAGCAAAGCCACCAGGGAGGTGGCTAACAGTGGTGGGCCAGAGTCATTTAGACGTCAATCCGCCGCTCTAGCGCCAATGGCAGGATCCATAGCTACTCCACTTTTATTTATTTATTTGTTTATTTATTGGATACCACTGTGTCGTAGGCTGAAAGGAGAATATGGGAAGGAATAAGAAGCCATTTAATATCCATTCAAGCAGCGAATATTCAAGAATCTAAACGAGTGCTATCCAAAATACAATTTAAACTTAAAATTCAGTTCTTTAATTACAACAGCCACATTTCACATGCTCAGTAGCCACATATGGCCAGTGGCTATGTATTGGACAGTGCTGTCCTAGACAATACCCAGTGTTTGATGTAGATCACTAGGGCCTCTTAAATGCCTCATTGGCAGGAGTGTAAAAATAGTTCAGCCACTTCGCACACAGTTTAGATTATCTTGTTAAGTGAACATTTATATCTTGTGAGCCAGCAAATTCCCCCTAGTTAAATTCTCGAAGTTCACCAGGAAACACGTACAGGAAGGTTCATAATAGCATCATTTGTAATAGCAGAACCTGGAAAAAACCCACGTGCCATCAACAGGAAGATGGATATATCATGGGATAGTCATACAGTGCAATATTAATAAAGCAGAGACATGGTGAATTAATCATAGCTGCACACAAAAGAATGCCTGAACCTTAGCAATCTGACAGTGACACCCTTTTTCAAAACCCCAAAACTTAACCCAAAGAACATAACAAGAATGTACAGGAGCATCCTTTAAAATGTGGTAAGACTACATAAAAAAGAAAAGCTCAGGAATGAGAAACTCAAGATTCAGAACAGCAGCTACCTTCTGTAAAGGAGGAGTAGGGATTTGGGGTGGCAGAAGACCAAGTTGTGTTCCACGATGGAGTGATGGAGTTTTTTTGCTTTCACAGATGTTTATTTCAAATAAATAAAGAGAGGCCAATGATGAGAGGGGGCCTTGAACTGAGGATAATGATGAGTCCAGTTCTAAAGTCCAGTTTAAAAAAAAAAAGGACCAGAGTCCTTTCCCTCTGGATACTCATAGGCTCACTGGAACATACAGGAAAGTCACTTAAAAATGGACACACTGTATTCTTGAGTCACCGGGCATGGACAAAGGTAGGATTGCTGTCACATGGTCATATTAGTTTCAAAGATCTACAGTGCCGCATCAACAGATGAAGAAAACCACGTCATCACACAGTGGCCTGGGTGGAAGAACACCACGTTAAGCTTTCTGCTGGCTTACAGTGTTTGAGAACACTAGCCTACTGGTGGCTTTTTAAATTATTTTGGTAATTCTCTGATTGAGATTGGAACTAAATTTGTTCATATGCAATGACTTTAAATACTCCCCCGCTACCCCACAGCCTACCAACTTGGACCTGAGAAGGTAAACTTTTAGCGGAGCTTTGGAGAGGAAAGAAGAGTTTTTCAGACACTGACAGTGATGAGCTGATAGGAGAGTGGGGGAAATTCCTTTAATCCAGCTTTCTGCTTCTAGGAAGAGTGTGCCTTCTGGAAGTCCTTGTGTTCATAAGACTGTAACAGAAGACGTTTCCTTTTAGGGTAAAATTGAACTCATCTGTCTTTTCTTCCATGTTGAGGTGAAAAGTTAGCCTTGAATGCCACAGCAAGCTCCCTAGTCAGCAGTGCTGAGCACTGAATCCAGCCTTGCCCTTGACAAAAAAATGAGAACCCTAGAAATGGGAAGACAGTTTGTGGCCTGTGTGAAGACAGTCAAGAAAGGAAACAAAACAAATAGTGTGTATCCCCAGGGGAGCCACTCTGCTTTTGTATTCTCTGATGTTTTTGGTGGGTTTGTAGTTTGCAGGTTAAAAAATAATGTATTGGGAGTGGGGGTGAGGTTGGATCACTGACATTTGGAGAAGGCTCTGAGGGAGTCCACTGAGTCAGGAAATAGCTGTTGACATCAGAAAGCTGTTTGATTGTGTGAGAAAATCAACAACGTGAGCGCATTTACTCCCAGTCTCAATTATTCTGGGAGTAAATGTCGTGGGACGTAATTTTTAATTTTTAATATCTGGAAACAAGCCTCCTTTCCTCACCTTCTCTGGCTTCCTCAGCTCCACTGGAGGAGTTTAGGACTGCAGCAAGTGTTCTCCTTCTGGTAGCATGTTTTTCCTCAGCTTTGGGTGCTAGTGGAAATACTTTGTGTGAGGGAAAAGGCTTGTCAACCGTGTCAGCTTCAGGACATTGCCTTCATGTCCCTTTCCTTATTTTGATCAGTAGAGTAGACAAGAGACACCCTTGACCTTTCTGTCAGGAAGATGGAGTTCTAGCTGGTTCACATTTTGCCTCAATGTTGATTTTGCTTTCGTTGCTCAAAATCCCTAATCTTCAAACTCTCCACCAAAGCTTGCATATCACCTTTCCTTTTTAGCTCAATTAATGGCCCTTATGCTGTCTGCCAGCCACCAGGCACTCACTCACTTCTTCAGCTTATCCTGACTGCTGCTTGGTCGTAACCCAGACACTGTTCTCCATCCCAGGAATGCAGTGAATGAAACAAATTCCTCCTCTCCTGGAGTTTCTAGTCCACATGGAGCCAAGCAATAAATAACATTTATCCACCTGAGATGGAAAGCAAATGTGTTTTGAGCAGATGACTGACTTGATGTAACTTATCATTCTCATTGCCATGAGGAGAGCGGACAAGGATGGAAGGGAAGAACCAGTTACATGGCCACTGTCGTGATACATGTTAGTTAGATCGAGATGGAGAGATATTCAGATTTGGGATATATATTGAATTTGAGCCTGCAGGCCCCCCAGTTGATTGGGGAAGATGTGTTGAGTCTGAATCAAACCTTACATTGAAAGTGATGAGGAAGCAGAACCTGCCCTATTCCTCTTGGAGAGGCCGTTGGGCTTCTGCCATGTGGCCTGGCAGAGAGGTCAGCAGGACTGCCTTGGGGGAAGCATACTTTATTCGCCTGTGTAGGTAGTATTTGGAATGACAGCAGGTGTTTTGCTAGACAAGGAGATAAGAACAGAGCTCTGCTATCTGGAGAAGCACACCAAGCTCCTTCCCTCAACCCCCTGCCTGCAGAGGTTGCCAGCGTCCTTTCAGCATCAGTTGTCCAGCTTCTCTGCTGATGGGTTAGCCGTGGTCCCTATGCTGCCCTTCACACTTTAAATCAATAGTTGGGCTCTGAGTAGCCAAATGTAAGCCTGTGTCTTAAAGGAAGAATTGAGACTGGCAGGGTATGTGAGTATATGATATAAATACAATGGGTTTTTTTTACTCTTTCTCTTAGTGCAGATCATTGAAACTTCTATATAGTCTCTTTATATTACCCTTGAAGTGTACAATTAATGGTACTGAAGACATCCTTGTAACTGAACTTTTCTAAAATGATTGCTGGATTTCTGTCTTTCCAGCACATAATCAAACCTCACCAAGGTATGGGGCTGTCCTTCAAATGGCACAGCCTGATGAACTGAGTGCTGACCTGGATTCGGGAGCACTTCACTTCTCAGTTATCCCGGCTTTGCATGGCCTGTGGCAAGTTTCTGGGGTTGTTTGTGTCCCTATTACTAACCTGACTTGCCCACCAGAGTACTTGCTGCCCTTGTAAGCAAATATCTATATTTCTGTTAGTTCATGTTTCTGAAGTGCTGATTCAGTGTGTAAGCCTTCCCCTCTCTTTTAGATATGTCTAGAGAGGGGTGTTTCACGTCAGTGGGCTCCAGGAACAAATAATAAAAGGTACAGCAAGTACAAGGCCGAGGACAGACCCAGTGCTGCACTCTTATCAGTCATCTGAAATACGCACTGCCTTTCCAAGACGAATGTGCACTCCGGTTTCTAGAAAAGCACCAGAAAGTATTTATCAGTTACCCTGTATATGGTGTGTGGAAAAAGATACCATTAGCCTGCTCTGAAAGCCATAGCAAAGCAGATTCCTCCAGGCTGCCGACAGCTGAGTGTCCTTTGAGCCACTGCAGAACCCCAGCCTTGGCCTGGGCCAGGTCCAGGGGGCCTTTCTTCTCCTCGCATGATTGCCATGTCCCTCATCCTTTGCCCGAGCAACTAACTGACCTCATCTTAGACAAAGTCTCAAGGGTTGGTGTGTTCTTACTAAATGCCCAGGATTTTCTTCCAGACCCATCACAAATCCCAAGATGCCTCTCCTGAAGAGATGCCTAGAAAAACAGGGTGTGGCCCGGGGGTCTCTATTATAGTAATAGTGGCAGGAACAAGAGCTGCCACTGGTGCGCCGCTCACCGTCGGCAAGGACCAGGCTTGGTGGGCACTGTTTTATTTCATCTTCACAGCAGTCCTGTAAGGTAGGTGTCATCATCCTGTTCAGAGAGAAGACTGAAACTGAGGGTTAAGGAAGTTAACCAGCTTATCCATGATCACATGGCCAGAACATGGTAGAGGCAGAATTCAAACTCAAATGAGGGCCTTAACCACTATTTCATGGTGCATTCACGGGGAATACTGTAGTTTAATTCTGTTCACTAAATTTGGAATATGTCTCGTATTACAAAGTGCTTTTAATTTAGTGAGAAAGGAAAAGCATTTTAACCTACACACTTCACCTCTTGGCTTTTTGTCCATTTATGTGTCTAGGACTCAAGCACAGAGGGTTCGGAAACCGCGATGCTGCACAGGGCCCCAGGGGCTGCTTCCCCGATATTCAGAGAGCCAGGCGGAAGGACAGGAGCAGCTCTTCAAACTCACGGACAACTCTCAGGATGAATTGTAAGTCAGACCATGGGAAACCAGCCCTATGGGTCTACTGAGTTGCCTCTTCTCCTTTTGAGCCTGAGAAGTTTCCATCTGATCTGAGTTATCTTCCTGACTCTCAGACCTTAGATCTGGTTAAAGAATTCCAAATGTGTTTTAGATTTAGATGTAACTGATGGTAAACAGCCTTTTACTTGAAGGAGTGGTCCTCAACTGTGTGCCATAGCCTGGCCTTAGTGTTTTGTTTCTAGAAAATGACAGTCTCATTCTAGTTAGTTCAAAGAGAGAAGATAAGGAGTAAAATGTTGTCAATTTTAAGATTTTTCTCCTGTAAAAATTTGTTAAACTTTGATACTCTATTTTTGATGCAGAATGCTAGCAAAACAAAACAGAAAAACAAATAGCAAACAACTAGTAGTTGGACATTTTGTCAATGGGTTTTTCTTAAGATTGCTTTGTTACTCTTTAAATACAGAGCTTTACACACCTGGGATCTTGTCATATCTTTAGCTAGCGATACTATTCCTAGTTGACGTGGTAGAATCAAATATTTCATTGTGTTAGGATATTTTGCAGAGCTCCTTGTAGTGTAAAAGTACTCTATAACCTGAACAGGTGTTAGAACCACCAGCCCAGAGAAAGCGGTTAGTTGTGTCTGGTGAGTAGCAAAATGCTAGTTTAATTTATTCCGATGCCTACTTGTCTCCTTTAAGGTAAAGCGAGCTTGGGGGATTCTGAGTGCTGTGAGTGTTTTTTGGTGGATGGATGAATGTCTGGAATAGAGGTCAGCTGTCAGGATAGTCTTCAGAGTCACTGTTAAAGACAGTGTTAAGAAGATCTCATCTCATAGTTTCATCGAAATATTTGAATGGGGATATCAAAAGTCAAATCCAGAATGTATTTGTTGCTTGCCAGATAGAATGGGCTCTCCCTACATGTGCCTTGTGTAAGTCCTGTGGTATTATTAGAAGGTCTCTTGATAATGGAGTTGCATTTTGTTGTTTTGTCTACTTGGGTTGCCATTTCTATCACAGACTGGGTGGCTTAGGCAACAGAAATTTGTCTTCTGATAGTTCTAAAGGCTGGGAGGGAGGTCCAGGATCAAGGCATCAGCTGATTCTATTCCTGGTGGGGGTTCTCTTCCTGGCTTGCAGAACAGCCCTCTTCTCACTTGTCCCCATATTGCAGAGAGAAACGGGGAGCTCTCTGGTGTCTCTTAAAAGGGTACTAATCCTATCAGCTCAGGGCCCCAACCTTATGACTTAATTTAACTATAATTATTTACTCCAAATGGTGACATTGGGGCTGGGGCTTCCACGTATGAACTGGCAGGGAGGGGTAACTCTGTCCACAACAGGTGTCACTAATAGGTTCTGCTGTTTCAGTCCAGTGCCCCCAGTGCCCATGCAGTTCACTCCAGGGAGGACTTTATATTCCTGCCTTTCTTGGGGCAGGGATTTGGTACCACAGCTGCTCTTGATACTGCTTGTAGATGGAACTTTTAGCCTTTGGATGAGAGGTCTAGAGAGTCATTTCTCAGGCCGGGCAGGACATGGTGCAGAGTCTACTAGAATGGCAGCCCTGTGAGGCTGGGATTTTTGTCTGTTCATTCACGAAAGAATCCTCAGCACATAGAACAGTGCCTGGCATCTAATAGGTGCCCAATAAATATAGTCAGATAGCTGCAGTTCAGCATTTGTGTTCGTATGTGTCCATTTTCCAATCATCTGGGCATTTTTTAGTCAGAGCCTAAGTGAGATTCTAAATTATTACATGTTATGTTTTCACTTTCCTCTCCAACTTACCTCTATTCAAGTCGAACCATCTCTGGTCACTGTGAAATTCATTTGCAGTAGAAGAAATTGCATAGTACAGCCAACACAGGATTGCTCCCAGTGAGAGATAAGCATTGAAAAACAGAGCCAGAGAGAGCTAAAAACTGGAATCCAAACAAAATCAGTAAAATCGATTTCATGAAACTCGAAATTCATATGAACTAGGAAGAGATATTGGCATGAATGAATTTTGACTTTAAAGATGAAAACCATGTGTCTCCTCCGCCCAAGTTGTGGGTTGAGTCTTGCCAGTAAATGCTGAAGGAGGCACATGACCACAGCCTTCCTAAGTATACAAGGAAGAAGCCATCAGGGAGTCTGGCAAATGTGCTCTGAAGTGTCCTCGGTTGTCAGCCAGTGTCTCAGGGTGAAGTGAACGTTACAGTCACCACTTTGCAAGAAAGGAGTGTTCAGGAAAAGCATGCGAGCACCAAATCATACCTCTGACTTTTATCCTAGATTTGTAATTAAAAACATGTTTAAAGACCCTAATTATTTGCATATTTTCCTCCAGAGTTAACCCCTTTAAAGGGTCTTTAATACCCTGCCCTACTGTTCTAAGTAAATGTTTCCACATTTTTTCCAGTTAGGCTCACTGTTTCACTTCTGGAAAATATTGTGTAATTATTTCCCAATGGAGTGAAAACCCCACAAAGTCCCCAGCCCCATGGTGACTTCAACTTTGTTCTCCCAGATCGAGTTGCATTTAATTTTTTCATTCTATCTAATTAATTAGTATTAAAAAGAGAGTTACTGACATGTGATTTCTGGTCTAGCCAGCTGAAAAGTCTTCACTTTCAAGTTAATCACATATTCCTCTGATAAGTTGCACAATTGTCATTGCTTCCCATCTTTCTCAATTTTGGTTTTGAAATAGGATCCAGGTTAAGAAGATGTTAAAGTAAAATTTCTCCTGTATGTTAAGTTTTCTTCTAACTCATGTCTCATTGTAGCCAGGAACTCATTTTCATTTTTTTATGGAACCTATTTTATTTCTAATACTGCATCACATATAATGGTGCACACTAGGCTGGTGAGCGGTCAGGTGGCTCCTACCTTTTAAAAAAGACTCATGAGCAACCCACATGACCTAGGAAGCTGCTTTAATTACTGCTTTCTGGAGTTAGACAATTTAAATTGTACTTTTAAATGCAGTTTTAGAAAGTAACATTTATGAGATTTTGTTAAATACAGAAAAGTATAAAAAATAAAAGTAGCCTATACATCCACCAGCTGGATAAGTCATTCCTCCTTTTAATTTTTTGTAGAGATGTGGGGGTGGTTCTTGCCATGTTGCTCAGTCTGGTCTTGAACTCCCGGCCTCAAGTGATCCTCCCACCTCAGCCTCCCAAGGGACTGTGAGGCCAAAGTGGGAGGATCACTTGAGGGTGGGAGTTCAAGACCAGTCCGAGTAACATGGCAAAACCCCTTCCCTGCAAAAAATACAAAAATTAGCCAGGCACGGTAGCACACATCTGTAGCCCCAGCTACTTGGGAGGCTGAGGTGAGAGGATTGCTTGAGTATGGGAGGTCGAGGCTGCAGTGAGCTGAGACCATGCCACTACACTCCAGCCTGGGTGACACAGTAAAACCCTGTCTCAAAAAGAAACTTATGTGCATGGATAGCAAATCCAAGAATATAGAAGAAAATAAAGTTAAGAGTAAAAGTCTCTTTTCTTGTTTACTTAGTAAATGTGCTGTTTATGATTTTTGTATCTTGCCTCTTCTTGAGAAATTTCACAGAGAGAGAGAAATCAGGAAAATTATTGAGCACACCATATAATATTGATTCTAATAGCATATAATTATAAATACAAACCTTATAGTAGCATACACAGTCTCAAAATAAGAACAATCCCTCCTTCTGAGAAATGGAATAGAATTCATTAGGTTCCGTTTCCTAAACCAGGAAATAATCTATCAGTAGCTATTGACATTTACAGACTTGGCCATTTTTTATATGCCCCTGAATTAAAACCTACATTTGGCAGATGGCTCAGCTCCTCTGGTAAAGCTAAAGGTTTGCTAAATCTTTAATCAGCTAAATCAGGAGTTGTCAGAGAAGTTTTAAACTTTCCTACTGGTAACGTGTCCAGCATCCAAAGTTGCCTGTATGCTGGCAAATTCCTTGCCTTGCTGCAATGCCAGTGTCACTTTCTGAGACACCCTCACGCATACATTTATTGAGTCCTACTATGTGTCAGGGTGAGTAAGAAGTTTCCTCTGTCCTCAGTGCATAGCAGGGGAAGAAGACACTGTATTGCCAATGACCTGTAACATATGGCTGTTAAAATAGAAGTGTGAGCAACGTATCATGGACCCACAGATGGGAAGTGATTAATTTATACTGGAAAGCCAGGGAAGACTTCGCAGAAAAGGCTCTGGACAAGTCACCTGACCTTGCAGGATGCGGAGGAATGTGCCAAGGAGAGAAGGCGCATGGGCAGAGGACAGTGCTGGGCAGAGACACGGGGCAGAAGAGATCACGACAAGTCTGGAGAATTTGGGGTCAGCCTTTTGTGGCAGCAGCATGTGTGGAGGGAAGGAATAGAGGCTGGAAAGGTGTATTCCCAGACTGGATGCTGAAGACAGACCTCCGTGGTCATGTCAAGGAGCTTGCCTCTCCCGTAGGTGGTAGTGAGATTGTGAGGGAAAGGATCCCACTCATTAAAAATCAGGCATTAAAAATCAAACCTCGACAGCGGCAGGTAGAGAAACTGCAGACAGGAAGCCAGTTAGGAGGCCCTTGGAGTAGCCCAGGGAGAAGGTGGAGCAGCCTGGACACAGTGGCCGTAGCGATGACTAGAAGGGGGCAGATCGGAGGGTATTCAGGAAGCAGCGCTAGTGGATCCCCAGACTGCTAGGTTGGAATCTGAGTGAGGAGGAGGGTTGAGAGAGGCTCTGGACTCCTTTCCCGCAATCAACTATAGTATCTACAGATACTATAGTATCTGGTTGATGGGGATGCCATCAGCTGAGGCTGGGGTGCTGAAGAACAAAGGTTAGAGAAGGAGCTGCTCCCCAGTGGACACTGAGGTGCCCTGAAGAGGGCCGGGCACTCAGAGCGACATTGAGGCCATAGAGTTGGGGCCACAGATGGACCTGGGGATAATACCTAGGGGCAGAGGAGTCTGTTCCAGGAGCGCTGAGTCAGGCGACTCAATGTTTCTGATTTTGAAATGACTCCAGAGGAAGTAGAATCGGGTATGTAAATGAGTTAATATAGCTTAAAAAAAAAAGAGCAGGAGAAAAGTCAAGTAGAGTGAAACAGTTACTTGGCAGGTTTCTCCCTGAGAGAAGTTAGTCATGAGCCTGTTTTCCATGTGGCCTATTAGAGGGACATCTCTCTCTCCAATCTGCTCATGAGAGGATGTGTGGGGGAAGGAGGGGTCATCCCCACGGGTTTGGGATAGCTGGGCACCTGTTCTCAACAGAAGAGCCACCATTAACTTCGGGTCTCTTCTGTGTGGGGCATGTGGATTAGCTCACACCATCACAGTGGCCCTGCAGAGTAGACCGATGGGGCTCTGCACATCAGGATGGGGAACTCTGAGCAAAGTCAGAGGTGGAGGCGACTGGCACAAGGGCAGCTGGCTCCCCTAGCAAGGCTGCAGTGTGATCTGGAAGGATGTTGTTACCTGCCCCAGAGGAGGCTTGAAGCTGCTGTCGGTGTTGCCGTGGCTGCTGCTGAGAATGCCCCGTGGTTTGTGGTTTATGGTGGGGTCTACTTTGGTGGCATTGGCTTTGCCAGATTCACCCACTCTTAGCACCTGTCATCTTGGAAAAGGGTGTAACAGTGACTTCCCTCAGAAGAAACTTTCTGACACTGACCCCCAAGGCCAGAGTATCCTCTTTCTCTCCTTAAAGGGGAGTTAAAACTTTTTCTTTTTTTTAATAGGGATGGGGTCTCACCATGTGGCCCAGGCTGGTCTTGAACTCCTGGGCTCCAGCAGTCCTCCTGCCTCAGCTTCCCAAAGTGCTGGGATTATAGGTGAGAGCCACCATGCTCTGCCCCAAGAGTTAAAACTGTTAACCAAGGTTTAAGAATAGTATAAAAATCCTATTTTTTTAAAATAGAATCAATTATAGTATCTACAGCAACCTAAAATGTGTCAGCCAAATACTGGGTGACTTCTCTAGGTCTCAGGTTTGAAGGATAAAGCTTATCTGGATGCTGTGTGTTTCTGGCTGCACCTTTTTGTTCCCCTTCCCTCTCAGTTAGTAACAGATCAGAGAACAGGAGGAGTGTGCTCAGGACCACCTGAGACCATGGTGGCATTCTTCCCTTGAGGTTTTTCCAACAGTCACTCATTTGTAGACCCAAAGTAGGCCTTGCGGGGAGCTTGATTCTAAGGGCAGTGAAGAGAGGAGAGCCCGGGTCGAGACTGCAAAGCAGTGTGAGCACCAGAAGCTCACATGAGGCAAAGGAAAACCTGGGAGAACTAGGCCAGGGAGGGAGGGGAATGGCCTGTGGCTTTAGGGAAAGGGAACGGAGGAAAGTACACGGGCAGCAGGGAAGGGCGGGAGCTTGCTGCATTTGCCAGGCTTCGCTTACCACCCTGAACTTTGCTGCTTCTCTCACAGAGTAACAAGTTTGGGATCGGGCTCCATTAGATAAGGGGTCTGGTCTGGAGTATTTGACGTGGTTGCCAGATTTTGTTAAAAAATCATTAAAATTAATAATAATAACAATGATGATGCAGCCCAAAGCCCTGGCCATTGTGGGTGCAGGAAAGCCAGAGGAGGACGATGGGGACACAGCTGTGGCTACCTGGTCCCTGGGGTCACTGCCCAGCTCCAACTGTGGCCTCACTATCTCCCTTCTCCTTCCTTCAGCCAGACCCTTGGCTCTGATCTGCTTTTGATTTGAAAAGACTTTAGAGCATTTCATGCAAATTTCCAAAAATATGTTATTATCAGTAGCAGCTTCAGGGCACACACAGGGCCTTTGACTTAAAGGACAAAGATCCATGGGATTGACAGCACTGCCTTCCTCCGCTTACCTTTCTGTATGGCCAGGAATTCTTTGACCTCTGTTCTCACTTTGTGAAGAAAGCTGGCAGAGATTTCCATCTCCATTAGAGAGATGAAGGGATCTGAGCTCCTAAGAAGGCAGCGGACTCAGCCAGAGTCAGCCAGCAGGCCAGGCTTTCCTGCCGCTCGGCCTGTGTTTCCCTTGCTGTGCCCTCTACCTTTCGGAGGGCATCCCAGCTCAGAGCCACCCTCCTCCAGAAGTGGTTCTGGCCTGAAGAAGGACTTGTAGCATCTGGGGCATCTTGGAAGAGTCTGTGTTAAAGCCTGTAGAAGTTTTCCGGGATGGAAAGCATACTGGTCGTGTTGGCCACTCTGGCCTGGGTGTGAGAGCAAGCTGCCCAGATGGAAAGCCCTTGGCTGACATGCAAATGTTAGCTATGGCGAGTGCCCAGTGGGGTGGTGCTGGGGGCTGAGGCCTGGGCAGTGGGGTGGAAGTGCGTGTGCTATGCTCACCTAGAGGAAAGGACCTCAAATCTCAGTTGGATTTTTCATACACATTCCTGCTGTCACCCCAACTTTGGAGTCTCCTTGGAGAGCCCATGATGGCCTCAGGGGCTGTGCACCAGGCCCACCAGTGCTAAGGAGTGTAGGCTGCTCCGGGGTCTCAGCCCAGGTCCCTGCCAGTTCTGGCTGGCACCATGTCGCCTCTTCTCTGTGTCGGGATCATCTTTATCCCTCTAAGTCTGTCTTTCTCTCTGTCCCCATGCCCTCCCTTCCTCCCCAGACCAGCTATTTCAGATTCCATCTAACTCTGTTCAGTGACGATGCCGCGCTGAATGCTGTCAGAGCGCGAGATGTGAGACTGTCTGTGCTGAGTGGCCTGAATGCTGACGGCTGCGGGTCTTACTAATTCTGGCATTGAGACTTTACAAGTCTACATTCTTGGCATTGCCAACAGTTAGAATAGAACAATAAACCCCAGTTTTTGTCACAGGTGTCTGTAATTAAAATGGCACTGGAACAAGGCAGCTCATTACTGAGTGCTGATGGGGTGGCCAACTCCGTGGGGTGCTCAGGGAGACACGGGGCTGTGACATATAGACCCCACTTATGGGGCTCATCTCGTAGGCAGAGAGCAGAGACTTATCCAGGACACGTGGAAAGAATGAGTTGGTGCTTGGCTGTGCTTTGGGGGCATCGCAATTAAATGCTCAAAAGTGAATAAGGGGCTGGAGTATGTGGGGCAGCTTCACAGAGAGGTTGGAACCTCTGATCCTTGCGGGGAGGGGACGGGCTTTAGAGAAGTTGAGAGAGCAAGTGTGCGTCCTCATGGACCCCAAGTGAGCAGGGGCCCAGCAGCCTGTTACCCGAGACAGGCAGGTGACCCCCCCGGGCTTCTGCCTCCTCCCAGGGCCTGGGAACAATGCGGCTCTGGACCCAGGTTTCACAACACTTTCAGGTGGTGCTGGGCTCTGAGCAGTTCCGTTTGGCAGCGGGAGCTCGACCACCACTCTGTCGTCAGCCTTTAGTATTCCTGCCATCCTTTTCTACCGTCCCTGGACACTGCAGACCCATTGTGAAGGGCTGTCACAAGATGCGGGGGAGGCAGCCAGGCCCGGGGAACTGTCACGCTGTTCCCAAGGTTCACTGGTCTCCATTCAGTGGCCAGAGAGGTTTGACATGCATAAATTTCTACTTCAATTATGTGAGCTCCATGATAGAGGAATTGGGTTTTTTCAGAGTGGCTCTAATGCTCCTGAAGTAACAACTCAGAGTTTCAAAAACGAAGATGATAGCTTCACCCAAGAAAGTGTTGTCTGACTCTGAGAGTTTTCTGAACCTGAAGTGGACCGGAGCGTCCTGTCCCCGGACATGCTGAGCTTTGGGAGGGAGGAAGCAGATGCGGGCATGCAAGTACTTCAACGCCAGGCCATCTCTTCATGGTGTGCCAATTGCTGAACCTGTTTTTTTTTTTTTTTTTTTTTTGAGACAGAGTCTGATCTGTCGCCAGGCACCAGGCTGGAGTGCAGCGACGCGATCTCGGCTCCCTGCAACCTCCCCCTCCGGGTCAAGCAATTATCCTGCCTCAGCCTCCTGAGTTGCTGAGACTACAGGCGCGCACCACCATGCCCAGCTAATTTTTGTATTTTTAGGAGAGACGGGGTTTCACCATGTTGGCCAGGATGGTCTCAATCTCTTGACCTTGTGATCCACCCGCCTCAGCCTCCCAAAGTGCTGGGATTTACAGGCATCAGCTACCACACCCAGCCTGCTGAACCTGTTTAATGCTGCTTTTTCCCCTTCAGTCTTCATCACCCCCAGCCACGTCCTCTCACCCCTTCGTGTTTGCCTCCCCTCTCCAGCTCTCCTTCAGTTTCACATTGAAAGGCATCATGTTTCTGTCGTGTCCAATAGAGCATTGTTACGGTTTTCTGTAAGCTTTAAGCTAGCCAAACATGCCCACAAGATACAGTTTCAGGTTGTAAAATTATTTCTATTGTTGCAATGGTTGGTGGTCTGACATTTCTCGAGCATCCTATAGAGGGGTGAGGGGTGCCATGGCCATGGACCTCACAACAGCCCCCTGAAGCCAGGCTCACTTTTGTTCCTAATTTATAAAAGAGGAAGCTGAAGCTCAGCGTGATGAAGCCACCTGCCTGAGGTGTAGTGAGCGAGGGGGTTTGGATTTGCACTCAGGCCCCGGAGCCACAGAGCCCACAGTGGGCCTCCACTGACGCTGGGCAAAGTGCGGGTGTCACTCCTGTGTTCCTGTCTCACTTTGCAGCTTCATCGCCGTGGAGAACATTGACAGCTACTGCGTGCTCATCTCCTCCAAAGCAGTTTACTTCCTGAAAAGTGGAGACTACGTGGACCGAGAAGCCATTTTCCTAGAAGTCAAATACGATGACCTCTACCACTGCCTTGTCTCCAAAGACCATGGGAAAGTGTACGTGCAGGTGACCAAGAAGGCCGTGAGCACGAGCAGTGGAGTGTCCATCCCAGGCCCTTCCCACCAGAAGCCGATGGTGAGTGTAAAGACCTGTTCTCAGGCTCCTGAGGGCCCTCTGCATCCACCTGCTTCCCCCTCTTCAGCAGGAGCTCGGGCTGGGCCCTCCCAAGAGTGCTGCCTCTCAGTCCTGAATGTGGGAGGGGCCCAGGGTGTGTTCCCACGGTGATGCTGCCCTCCCAGCTGGCCCATGGATGACCCTGGGAACGTTACTGCCTTACAACGTTTGTGCCTCAGTTACCCATTGATGTAGTGAGGGGAACGATACTTAGGCTCGTTGGTGGTAAGGAACAGCTAACACAGCACACAGGGTTTTTCTGCTCCTCAGTTGGGATTCTTCGGTGCATGAATCGCAGAAAACGCTGGAGCTCCCACTGGGTTCTCCATCGTTTCTCCTTAATGCTGGAAACAGGAACGTTTATTCTGCGCATAGAAATAGTATATAGCATGCGCAATAAGTACTTATAAATAAAAATTATACTTTGCCTCCAAAGGGGACCAGATATTGTTATGATAAAGCTTTTAAATAATAAAGCTCCTGTGAGTCACTAATGTTCCTGGGGGGCTGGTGTCTTGTGGGTTGTCTGAGAACTGCGTTACTGTCTTCCCCACTTCACTATTGGTGAGGACAGGTTATTCATTCGAGGCTACATAGCCAGCTGGGCACGGTGGCTCACACCTGTAATCCCAGCACTTTGGGAGGCCGAGGCAGGTGGATCACCTGAGGTTGGGAGTTCGAGACCAGCCTGACCAACATGGTGAAACCCCATCTCTACTAAAAATAAAAAAATTAGCCAGGCGTAGTGGCACATGTCTGTAGTCCCAGCTACTCAGGATGCTGAGGCAGAGAATTGCTTGAACCCAGGAGGCAGAGGTTGCAGTGAGCCGAGATCACGCTACTGCACTCCAGCCTAGACAACAGAGCAAGACTCCCCTCAAAAAAAAAAAAAAAAAAAAGGCTACAGAGCCAACCTTGAGGAGCTGGGGTTCAAATCCAAGTGGCTTGACACCAGCTGCAGAGCCCCTTGCTGTGTTGTCTCTGGCCAGTCTGCCCTGGTGGCTTGTCATGGCACCCAGGTGTTAGTCCTGCTCATTCTCACCTGGGATGCCAGGATTTTGACACTCAAATTCAAGAATTATACATTAATCAAAAGGGCCTGCCCACCTCTGCTCTCTCCATGGATCAGAAATAGCTTCGCCTCATTGGGCCTCTCTCCTCTGGAGTCCATCGGCCCCCGCCTTGCTCAGGAATGCACCTGGGCTTGAGGAAGGCTCCCCTGGGGCCACTGGCTTCAGTTAGAGCTGGCTGATGAAGAGAGCGAGCCCCCCAAAGTGTGAGTATTTCTCCAGATCCCTTCACTATAGCAGGTGGGCAGCCTCGGCCACTATACCTCTGCCCCTTTCTAAGCAGGTAGGCAGGGAGGTGTTTGTGCTAAGAAAGACCTACAGGCTTTTGTTCGCTGATTATTCTTCCTTCATCGGCCTTCACCAGACCTTAGATGTGAATCCCATATTCTTGCCGCTGGTCTCACCTCTACAGATCAGTTCTGTGGTGTCCCAAATGTGGTGTCCCAGGTGAGTATGGGTTGGCTGCACAGTCCTGGGAAATGTTTGAAAAGACAGATTGCAGGACCCCACCTGAGACTTGTGAGTATGGGTGAAGTAGGAGCAGGCCCCGGCATCTCTGTATCTTTGACATGCACTCATCCCACCCTGAGACGCAGCTGCACTGGGAGCCACCGTCTGGGTGGATCTGATTCCTGGGTCTCCCCACCCTGGGGGCAGGTGACTTACCCTGTTCTCCTCTTTAGGTCCACGTGAAATCTGAGGTCCTCGCTGTCAAGTTGTCACAAGAAATAAACTACGCAAAGAGCCTCTACTATGAACAACAGCTTATGTTGAGACTCAGTGAAAACCGAGAGCAGCTGGAGCTGGACTCCTGAAGCCCCAGCTGCCCAGACGCACGCTCCCGTCGCGGCCAGACCCGGGAGGAAAGAGGCCGAGCTCAAGGCTTACGTTAGAGGCGGAGCCAGAGTCGGCTTTAGGGAAGTTGTCATGGAATGAGGGAAGGTAAATGCTCATTAGGAAAAATGCAAATGGAAATCATATTAATTTGTGAGGCAGGGAGTTAGTTTAGATTGTGAGAATTAATTTTTAAAGGTATTGGTTAAATAACATTTAAAAACATGTACTGAGATGAATCTAATTTTTAGATTGCCCTGTATTTTGTTAACATGTATATATGTACAACTGTGTGTTTGTAAATATATAGGAACATTTCTGAACAGGGCCTGTGCTGTGTGTAAAGGTTTGTTAACTGTAAAGTAATATAAAATTATATTGGATCTTCTATTGCACTAATTCTACATGTCTAATTCAGGATACTGTCTATAGAAAGTCATTCTTAAAAGTTAAAGAATGTTATGTCTTAGTTTTGGAGACTAAAGTATTCCCAGGAAAGTGGGTTGAGGTGAGAGCTGTGTCCCTGAGGAGGGACGCCTTTGACATCGTGGCTGTCCAGTTGGTCCATGAGCGGTGGCACCCAAGACTGGCGCTGGCCCTTCCAAAGGATCTAGGAGAGGGGCTTGGGAGCCCACCTTTAATTTCTGAGCCCAATTTTACAAAGAGTGCTTAGATTCTCACAAATGATGTAAGTTACCTCTTTGGCTTTTTCCTAACTAGTCTTAACCAAACTTGGAGGGAAACCTGCGTTCTGTTACCACACACGTGCAAATCAGCATTCTCAGTTTTCTCAGGTTATTACTAGAGAGGGTTGAAACATGGTTAAACTCTGTTGATTGAGAAGGAGAAGAAAAATCCCATTGAACTGTTGCAACAAATCAGAAATCCACATAAGCGTGCTCTCCTTCCTGGGCACCAAGAACAAAGCCCTGCAACTCTTTTCTTTTTAATAAAGCCACCTGCAGGCATCACAGCTCCACAGCCCGAGGGGACACAGGGATGGTAACCCCAGGATAAGAAAGGATGGGGGAGATTCCAGAGAGGGGGATGAAGTAGGAGTACTAAAAAGCTGTATTTGTAACCTTTTCGTGGAACCAAGATTTGACGAAAGCGTCTCTTATCCTTAGTTTTAAATTCCGGCTGGGAGCAAGGCCTGGTGTGAGCACCCTGGGTCTTGCTTTCGGTGTTTCTCTTTTCTGTAAGGATTAAGCCAATAGGGAGAGGGGAAAAGGGGCCTCACTTTAGAATGAATGACTCACCTTGTGATTTTTAAATTTTTATTTTAATAAAGCTAATCAATTTCTACAACCTTGTCACATGTAGCTGAGTCTGGGATGACTCAGTGGATGCGTGGAAGATTTTGGTGTTTATAACTCATGACCCAAATCCTTCCAAGACACAAATGAAGCTAATCTCCTTCCCCCCTTTCCTCTCCCACTTCCCCTCCGTGTTTGTGTGTGTGTCTGTGTGTGTATGTCTGTTTGTGTATGTGTGTCTGTGTGTGTGTGTGCCCACATGCACGCGTGCAGAGAGGAAGGAAGGGAGCTTTAGCACAAGTGCTTTAGTTACCTAGTGTTCAAGGATCAGCTTTCTTAAACTGAGGCTTGGAGGCCTTCACTGAACTCCAAATGAGTGGATTGCAGAATAGAAACTTGGCTTTTGCAGCATTGGGTGGGTTTTAGTTTGTTTGTGTTTTGCTGGGGGGTAGTCATGATTGTATCAGCACTTATGCACTGCTCAAGATCGCAGCAGAAGGCAGCCAAGTGGCAGCCCCTCCCCAGCTTCCTCCTCAGCCTCCCTCCTTGCACCCCCACGAGTTTGGCTTGTGGTTTTTGTCATCAGTAACCCGCTGCCTGAGATCATGATCTCTTAAAAGATGAGACTCTCTGAAGGGTTGATTGTATGCGTCAGTGAGCTTTCTGTCGCCTTCTGGAACAAAGTCACTTGAAATTTCTTGATGAGATTAAGGAGTTTAGTATTACTAAAGAATCTGCTTTGGGCCGCAGCAGCTCGGGGGATTCTCAGATCTCACTGCAGGAAGCTTAGTTGTGGGCTGCCCTGTAGGCTGGTACTTTAGGAAGAATCCAGAGAAGTGTTTAGATGCCCTCCTTGGGCTCCTTTCTAATTTTAGTCAGCTCTTTAAATAGCTGCCCATCTCCTGTGATTGCACAACCAAGCACTTTGACATTTGCACCTTAGGAGAGGCAGATGTTAAAATGGAATCCAAAGACCAACTAGAGTGGGGCTAGGTGGGAGGTGGAAGGGCCACTGCTGTCTGCTCCACTTCTCAGCTCTCCCTGCTGTGCAGCCCTGGGCCAGGCATGGCCAGAAGGTTTCAGGGACATTTGACATCCACTCCTGGTTCTCACCAGGAAATCATCCAAAGCTTTGGAGGAAGCAGGCCCTGCCCCTGGCTCCTTGAATGCCCGTTTCTTTCTAAGTTGCTATTCAGACAGCAATGTCTCAGACTTCGTTATGATCATTTCTGCCGCTTTCCTTTCTGCCTCAAACACACAGTTCATCTCTGAGGAAAGTAAAATAAATGGAATAAGGGGAAATTGGGTAAGGAGCTCTCCAAAGCCACCCAGTCCTTTGACCCAGCACAGTTGGCTACCCGTGTCACTGCCTGGCTGTCTGCTTCTCTCTGCTCACTGAAAGGTGAGCCAGGCCCTGGGCCTGGTCACTACAGTGGGAAACAGACAAGCGGCCCCTCCCCTAACCCTAGAGTGTCATGCTGCTTGGTGGGGACTCACCTCAGTGTTCCGAAGGCTCCAGGGCCACTTTGTTTGTAAGTATAATCTGTGCCTCAAAATACCATAGTAGCTGCTTGATAAAATAATAAAAATAAAATACCTGGTTCTCTATTATGTAAGCACTATTACAGTCACCAGTGTGTTAAGACTCTGGAGTCTGGTTCTCATAACAGAGTCGTCACTTTTCTTCCTGTGGAATAAAATGCTCTGTGGACTTCCCAAACTTGTCCTCTGTTTTCTTCTAGTCTCTTGGTGATCCATAGCTTCTAGAGCTATCAGCAGTGACAAAAACCAAACCTGGTACAATGTTCACAATAAAATGTGGCCTCTCTCCACAAGCCCAGGGAGGCAACCCCACACCTTGATCGGTCTCAACTTCCCACGAGTAAGTGGCAGTCTCTGCACTGCACTGGCTGCTGCTCAGCGCACTCTGAGGTCCCTGGTCCAAGCTCCAGCAGGACAAAAGTCACATTTAGGATTCAGGCAGCTGAAGAAGGAACAGCAAAGGAGACTCACCAGGATCATCCAGAGACAGTGACAGCAGGAGGTGATGGATCCTAGAAGCCGAGGCCAGAAAGGTTTCAAAGACTGTTGAGTGCTACTGCTAAGTCGGGGGATGAGGATCAGCAATTATCGATGGACCTAGCGACACTGAAGTCACTGGAGACCTTTCTGAGAGCTGTTTCAATGGAGCATTGGAGGTGAACGCCAGGTTGGAGTAGATTCAAGAGGAAAATGGAAGGAGCAAAATTGGAGAGAAATACCAACAACTCTAGAGGAATCTGGCCATAAATGGAGAGAACTAACCGGAAATTCAAAAGACAGGGAAGGAAGAAGGGAGTAGAGGGCCTGGCAGGCCAGGAAGATGAGTAGAGATGGGGAGCTTGAGATTCGGATGATTGCTTCTGTGTTCTCACGGGAAGTGATGGCGATCTGGAAAGAGAAGGTGCACAGTCCTGTAGGATAACAGGAAAGTGAACAGGCCAGAGAAGTGTGGTATGTTTGCCGGGTGACTTTCAGGACCCACTTGAGGTTGATTACCGTGAATTTAAAGTGGGAATGGCCTTCCTGGCTGCGTTTTTGTCCAGCCACATTTAGCTGCACAGCTTCAGTGTAGAATAGGCAAAGAATTGGCTTTCATCAAGAAATGCTCCCCTCAGCTATTCAAATACCTCATCCACCTTTGCCCAGTTGAACTGGGAAAGAGCCAGTCAAAAGAAAATGGCAACAGAAATCCAAAAGCCTAGAGAAGGGAAGGGCTGTGCTTTCCAAACCAAAGCACTGAGTGGCAGAGGCAGTGGGAGGTGTGGTTAACAACCCCTGAATGAGCACAGTGAGACTCTTTTCTGGGGCTCCCGGATGCAGTGGGACAGTCAGTGCTTGACTGAACCAGCCAGGCGCTCCAGGGCACGGGGATATCATTGACACAGCAAGGGTGTGTGTATGATGATCTTCCATTTCCTCAGCCAGGTTCAGCATGCTGCCTTGAAGGTATTGGTTGACTGCGCAGACAGCTTTCACCCTAGCTCTTTAGACCAAGAAAGTGGTTTCTAGCACTGGAGGACATACTCAGTGTTCACTGGACACTGCATCCCAAGACCCTAAGAACAGAACCCTGAAGTGCTTCCCGAACACAGACCCAAGCGTGTTCATTATTATTACTTAAAGTTTGGATTAAGATGGAAGAGCACACACATTCAGGAAATTTGAAGTGAGATTTCACTCATACCTGCAAGGGTCTTGAAGATCATCCAAGTTGTGGCTCTCTGACTGGGGGCATGATAAAAGCAATCATAAAGACGAAAGAAAGGACATGTAATCCTAGCCCTTTAGGAAGCCAAGGCAGGAGGATCAAGACCAGCCTAGGCAACATAGGGAAACACTGTCTCCACAAAATAAAAAAAAAAATAGCCAGGTATGTTGATGCATGCCCACAGTCCCAGCTACTTGAGAGGCTGAGGCAAGAGGATCACTTAAGCCCAGGAGGTTAAGGCTGCAGTGAGTTATGATTGCACCACTGTACTCTAGCCTGGGCAACAGCAAGACCAGGTACAAAAAAAAAAGGCCAGGTGTGGTAATCCCAGCACTTTGGGATGCTGAGGCGGGTGGATCACGAGGTCAGGAGATCGAGACTATCCTGGTCAACATGGTGTAACCCTGTCTCTACTAAAATACAAAAAACTAGCCAGGCGTGGTGGTGTGCACCTGTAGTCCCGGCTACTCGGGAGACTGAGGCAGGAGAATGGTGTGAACCCGGGAGTTGGACGTTGCAGTGAGTCAAGATAGCACCACTGCACTCCAGCCTGGGTGGCAACAAGACTCCGTTTAAAAAAAAAAAAAAAGGAACTCACCGTTGAATAATCCTATTGACACGGTTTAAAATTAGTCTTCCCTCTTTGCTCCCCCCAATATATCACCCCTCTCTATTCCATCCACTGCACCTCAAAATGAATAACCTTGTGTGTTGCCTGAATTTTCGCCATGCTTATATAATTATAGATAGATACACATATTCATAGATTTCTAACATTTGTGTTTACAAAAATGGAATCTTGACTTACTGCAATGTCGAACTCCTGGGCTCAAGCAGTCCTCCCACCTCAGCCTCCCAAAGAGCTGGGGTTATAGGCATGTGCCACTATGCCCAGCTAATTTTTTTTATTTTGAGTAGAAATGGGGGTCTCACTATGTTGCCCAGGCTGGTCTCAAAACTCCTGGACTCAAGTGACCCACCTGCCTCAGCCTCCCAAAGTGCTAGGATTATAAGCATGAGCCACTGTGCCGGTCTCTTCATCAGACTTTAGGATTAAAATTATGCTGCCTTCAGAAAATGGACTGGGGAGCTTTCCACCATTTGGCTTACAGTACTTAAATTACTTTAGAATTTTCTGTTCTGATTGTCAAAGCTTGGATAAAAGTGGGCTGTAAACTTTTAAGTTATAGAACTCTCTTTTTTGTCTTTTTGTAAGAGACAAGGTCTTACTGTGTCACCCAGACTGAGTGCAGTGGTGTGATCATAGCTCACTGCAATCTTGAACTCCTGGGCTCAAGCAATCCTCCTGCCTCAGCCTCCCGAGTATCTGGGACCACAGGCACAAGCCACCGTGCCCAGCTAATTTATTTTATTTTTGGTAGAGTCAGGGTCTCTCGCTTTTTTCCAAGGCTGGTCTCAAATTCCTAGCTTCAAGCAATTCTCTTGCCTCTGCCTCCCAAAGAGCCACTGTGCCCAGCCTAGAACCCTTTTCAATAGTGTCCATTAATCATCATCCCACACTCTACTCTGTTTATTGGACTATCCAAGTTTTCCATTTCTTCATAGGTCAATTCTGGTAACATTTGCTTTGTTTAAAAATCATTCAGTTCTCTTAACTTTTTTAATTTGTTGCTGGCACAGTTGCATGTATTCTCTTAACATTATTTTAAGGCCTCTTATATCTGGTTATTTCTTCTTTCTCATTCCTTATCTTGCATGTTTTTACTGTTTTTTATAACTAAACTTTTTGAGGATGTTAGTGTTTGTTTCAAAGAACCGGTTTGAGATGTGCTTTTCTTTGCTACCAGGTTTTTGTTATTTTATTGATTACATCTTTTTGGTCCCTGTACCTGGCCTGTTTTGACTTATTTTCTTGTTCTTTTCTTGCTTTCTAAGGTAAGTATTTTGTTTTGTAGTGTTGTTTTTTTCATCTTTCTTCTTGAATAATAATAGCATTTTTAGGTTTTAAATTTTCCTCTGGTACTTGGTTTGTCTCACTGATTTTGGTATTAAGCACTCTCCTTTTATTGCTTTCTATGTAGTCTTTAATTTTGCTTTTAATTTCTTCTTAGATCTAAGGATTGCCTACTTGTTAATTTCCAAATATTATCCCATTTATTTATTCAAATGAAGTCTCGCTCTTGTAGCCCAGGCTGGAGTGCAGTGCCGTGATCTCAGCTCACTTGCAACCTCTGCCTCCCAGGTTCAAGCGATTCTCCTGCCTCAGCCTCCTGAGTAGCTAGGACTACAGGCATGTACCACCATGCCCAGCTAATTGTATTTTTAGCAGAGACAGGGTTTTACCATGTTGGCAAGACTGGTCTTGAACTTCTGACCTGAAGCAATCCGCCTGCCTCAGCCTCCCAAAGTGCTGGGATTACAGGCGTGAGCCACTGCACCCAGCCAAATTATCTCCTTTAAATTAGTGTTTGGAATTTTATTGGATTATGATCAGTAAGTAAGTAACCTGAAGATGTCTACACTCTAAAACAATCTGGGCTGCACACAGTGGCTCACGCCTGTTACCCCAGCACTTTGGAAGACTTCAGCTCAGGAGTTTGAAATCAGCCTGGGCAACGTGGTAAAATCCCATCTCTGCAAAATATACAAAAATAAGCCAGGCATGGTGGTGCGGGCCTGTAGTCCCAGCTACTTGGGGAGGTGGGGTGAGAGGATCCCTTGAGTCGGGGAGGTCAAGGCTGCAGTGAGCCATAGCTACTGCAGTCCAGGCTGGATAGCAAAAGTGAGACTCTGACCCAAAAAAAAAAAAAAATCTATTGTGATTTTCTTTTTGTCCAAGTATGTTCCGTGGCCGGGCATGGTAGCTCATACCTGTAATCCCAGCACTTTGGGAGGCCAAGGCAGATCAGATTACGAGGTCAGCAGTTCAAGACCAGCCTGGCCAGTATGGTGAAACCCCCATCTCTACTAAAAGTCCAAAAAAACAATAGCTGGGCGTGGTGGTGCACTCCTGTAGTCCCAGAAACTTGGGAGGCTAATGGGCGAGAATCGCTTGAACACAGGAGGCAGAGGTTGCAGTAAGCCGAGATGGAGCCACTGCAGTCCAGCCTGGTTGACAGAGCCAGACTCCATCTAAAATAAATAAATAAATGTTCTATGAACATGTGAAACAAAAGCATACTGTCTCTTCGAGGCATGCAAAGATAGACAGACAGATGGAACTCTGTAGACTGTTTGAATTAAGTCCTGTAGGATCTTCCTTTGTGTGCATAAGGGACTGACTTGCATCTTCAGAGGGCCGGAGGGGCAGCCGCTAACTTAAGCTCTATCCTTTGGAACTGCAGTAAGTGCTTAAAGTAAACAAAGTTAGAAGAAAGGAAAAAGCAGACAGAGCACAGCAGCCTTAATTAAGCCTCCTCCAAATACGCCCGTTGGACCTTCAGAAGGATTTGACGCTGGAACAATCACACCACAGAGCTGCCTGACCCACGCCCAGGAGCAGGGCCAAC